AGGGTTAGTTTAGGTTTTGATAGAATTAGGGTTTTATATTTAAAATAAATTTGGGTGGGGTAGGTAGGTTATTTTAATTTTATAATATTATTATTAATTAAGATGATAAAACCTGAAAATTGAATTAATAAAGGGAAAACCTGATTTTTAGAAAGCTAAAACTAAACACTTGGTTTAGCCTAATTTTCCCATTTGAAAAGCTATGGCCATTTTCATTAAGCCCACGCCAAGATGGGCTCTGAGTTCGTAGGTTTGGGTTTAGAATTGGCCCATTTCAATAATCTAATCTATAAACCAGAACCCCAATAGAACCCCGGCAATCTGAAATCGCGTGCACGTTCTTTGGAATTCCAGAGATTCGAGACTTCTACTTGCAAGGTTTTCTCTCTACGCATAAGCTAGTATGTTGGTCCATTTGTTGTATCGTGGGTGATTTGCTTTTATTTTCCCAAAGCAGTGATATAATTTTGAATGTATTAAGAAAAATTCGGTAATCATGTTGAATTTTGCACTATGGCAATGTTATATAGTGTTTCTTAGATTTTCCTTTTTAGATCCAGAATTTTGATCAGCTTTTGGTAATTTGTTGAGCTATGCAAGTCAAATTTATAGTGTGTTTAATTTTATTTTGTGTTTATGATAAACGATCTTTCATGAAGTATATACGTGTTGTTTGCGTGCTTATGCATCAATACTTGCATTATATTCTTTTTAGAAATGAAATGAAAGGAAAGAAAAGAAATGTTTGATATGATGTTTAGGTTCATGTGCGCGTGTACTTAAAATTGTATTTGTTGATATTTCTGATTTGGATTGGTTTGGTGTGAAAAATAAAAGAATACAATTTTGAATTAAAAACATGTTTTCAGCTAGCTAATGCCCAACGGAGCAGTCTATTCAATTACATTGTCTGTCCATTTTTCATGTTTGCAGGATCAATTTTAGCAACCACTGCCTTGTACCTATCCCTTTTGCCTTTGTTCATCTATCTAACTGAATAATGGATGCTGGAAAATTGTTAGAGCTTTGCGTGCCAGATTACTTAGTTGAGCCATTGTTAGTTGCGTCTGACTCTTCTACTTTAGATAAGGTGCTAGTGCGTCTCGTTGAAATCTCCAAAACTCCTGATGGCCGGTCAGTCCTCGCTTCCAAGAATGTCATGATACCAATCCTTAACCTATGTCAATCCCTATGTTACCCTCCTTCTCGCCACTTTCTCTTGTTGTCCCTAAAACTGCTCAGAAACCTGTGTGCAGGAGAACTAGATAATCAAAACTTATTTATTGAACAAACTGGTGTTGGAATTGTTTCAAGTATCATTAATTCTTTAGTGCTAGCTTCTGGTTCTGACAATGAGATTATTTGTATGAGCATGCAACTTTTGGGAAACATCTCATTGGCTGGGGAAGAACATCAGCGTGTTGTTTGGCTCCATTTCTTCCCGCTTGAGTTTTTGGAAATTGCTAAAGTTAGAAGCAAAGAAACATGCGATCCTTTGTGCATGGTTATCTATACATGTTGTGAAGGTAATGATGAACGATTGGTTGAACTGTTTACGGATCAAGGGGTACATGTAGTGGTGGAAATTATACGGACTGCAGCAGTAGGTATGCATTGTTAATATTACACGTCCATTTCTGCAGTATTATGCGAGCATAAAATGCAATTTGTTTGAAACAAACTCTTAATGACTTTAATAAGCTTTTGGACTTAGCAGCTGGATTTAAGGAAGACTGGCTGACGTTGCTTCTCTCTAGAATTTGCCTGGACAAGTCTTACTTTTCACCAGTTTTCTCTGAATTGTCCCTGGTTAGTGCAGCTGAGAACCATGACGATGATATGTCTAGAGTTAACCACTTTGGAGGAGAGCATGCATTTTTGTTGAGCATTCTATCAAAAATCTTGAATAAGCAAATCGTGGATGTTGCAGTGTCCAGTTATTTTGCTTTGTCTATTCTTGGAATATTGAGAAATGTGATTGGGATTGTTGATTTTGTTGAAGCACCGAAATCAGGTCTTCCTACAGGCTTAGCTGTTGTTGATGTTCTAGGATACTCCCTAACCATTTTGAGAGACGTCTGTGCCTGTGGCGGTGCTACGGAGTCTAAAGAGGATGTGTCTGGGGGTATTGTGGGTACTCTAATATCCTGTGGGCTCATTGAATTGCTTCTAAGCTTGCTTCGCGACCTAGAGCCTCCAATGATAATTAGAAAAACAATGAGACAAATCGAGAACCAAGAAGTGATAACGTCTAGCTCGTCCAAGCATTGCCCTTATAAAGGTTTCAGGAGGGATGTTGTAGCCATTATTGGAAATTGTGGTTACCGCAGGAAGCATGTTCAGAATAAAATAAGAGAGGAGGATGGGATCCTTTTGTTACTACAACAGTGTGTCGCTGATGAAGATAATCCATTTTTGAGGGAATGGGGAATCTGGGCAGTGAGAAATATATTGGAAGGGAATATAGAAAACCAACAAGTTATTGCCAATTTGGAGCTTCAAGGATCTGTAGATGTGCCTGAAATTGCTCATCTAGGTCTTCGAGTACAGGTGGATCCCGAAACTCGACGTGCAAAGCTTGTAAATGTGTGATGAAGAACTGAACATTATCTTCTGAATGATTATATATATGGTTACTGTTATTCCCTTTCACACTTCAGAATACTTGCCAAATTCGAAATATAATCATATGCTATATTCAAGAATTTCCCATTATAAGGAATACTAGACAATGTAAGCACCACAAGAACCATCAGAAGATCAGTAAAACCAAGCAGTTATTGCGCTGCGGATTCCAGAGTACATCAGCTAAATGAGTTATTTCTAGTCCAGGAGAAGTAAGAACAAAGAACATGAAAATAGTGTCTGCAGTCCTAGACGAACAGTCAAAATTGCTGAACAACAATTCTTACACAGTTAGAATTGTAGAGCGGCTCATAGAACTCCCTCACTAAAACGTGGCAGGACTTTGCTTCATACTCTACATCTGTTTCGAAGATGAGGTTCATCTGTCAACGTGTCATCCCCAGGAGGCCATGGATCTACTCTGGGAGCAGCAGGCAGTGATGTTGCTGCCGGATTATTATCAGTTATCCAAAACTGAAGAATTCTTTTATCGTCATCCTTCATTCTCTCAGCATACTTGACGTAAAAACCTGCATCATCTTTCCCACCGAATGCATACTCCACCACTTCTATCGAACAAATCATCCATGACACTCTTCGTATTAGGGTTGTCCGAGTAAACAAATTTGACTTTGGCAACAGTTTTAGGCTCTAGGAAACGTTTTGCAACCTGAAATGTTAGGTGAGAGTTACTTTCAAAAAACATGATCGTTGAAGCAAACCATTATAACAGAGATAAATGAAAGATAATGGGATGAGATGAATGAACATTTCCAAGTAAACATTAAGAAAACTAAGAAATAAGGGAAAATTCTGTCCAAAATGGTTCGAATATCTCAAGTGGATCATATTGAAGCCACGAAAATCAATCAACCAGAGCTTCTTCTCTTGGCCTTGAAGGAGATCTAGAATTGCATTATCCATGCAATAAACCAAATACTTAATCTGACCTTTTTGTTGATTTTGTGTTCTGTACTGATATAAAACTAGAAAAAGTTGAGTGAAAATCGAGGACGAAGTGCATCTTTGCTAAGCTCAAAGTTACAACTAAAGTAATAAATAATTTTTTTATTGGTCGAAGTTGGAAATAAGTTATGTTTAAGAAAAGGAGGAATTATCATAATTGACGGCTGGCACCTAGGCCTCATTACCAGAACTGTCCTCCCGTGCTTCTTTTTATAACTCGCCCTGTATATTTTTCCAATTTCTGCCTCCTTCGTGACAAATTAAGAAATGTTAACCAGATAACATATTTTGAGTCTTACCACAACCATGATTCCATGAACACTGAAAAGCTCGAAACAATTACCGGTAAACACGAGAGAGCTTCAGACGTGGATACTAACAATGCATGGACAGACGATCAAAAACTTGAAAATGCGAGTATTTGGATAAGTATTCATTACCCAGCGAATTTCTTCAGGTCTGTATTCCTTTCGCCACTTTAAAGGTCGCTTTAAGCATTTTAGCAGCCTTATTAACATTCCAGCTCCGTGCCCTTGAGTATCTTGAAATCGATTTACCAGACTCTGGCCGCCCTATTAAACTTCTGACCTCGTTAATCTGAAAATATGGAAAAGTATATGAGCATTAAATATTAGTGTTTTCAACAATGATTTAGTTAGGACTGAAACCCCTTTGCCTGCTGCAATTCTGGAGCCAAAGAACTGTCCGCAGCTATTTGGAGCTGTTGTATTCGACTCAGAACTCATTATTCTCAATGCTTTGGTAGGAACTATTCTCCCGAGTAATTAAGATTCTCTGTGGAAGAAGAGTAACACAAGTGACATAGGTTGCAATGACAGAACGAGATTGAAAAAAGAAAGAGATGGAAAACGGAGATAATATATAAGAAATTGGGAGAGAAAAGTATTGCTTTATTTTGTAATCAAAATCTAAGTGTTAGCATGAATAGATCATCCTCGTATAGAGTATAAACAAACCTAATTTAAGAACGAAAATAAATTACTCAAAAAAAAAAACTATAAAATGTAAATGAATTAGACATCATATTCTTCTTGTAAATTGTTGAATTAACATATCCAAGTCATGAATTTGTTTATTGTGTTCTTTTTTTTTTCTGTCTATGTACATGGAAGAACACCTTCAATATATGCAATTCAAATATACAACACAAAGCAAAAAATTCACTTCAAGAAGACTCAACAAGAATACACCAACTCTCAGCTCCAAGAATTCAATCCAAAAAATCCCGAAGAAAACAATAAAATTAACCAAGAAAACAAATATAGGCACTTGCCAAATAATGGTTACTAAATTGAACTAAAAAAACTATAAAAGATTTAATAGATAAAGAAATTCAAGGTCATGGAAGATGTTCAACTTTTCACCAAAAAAATAAAAATAAAAATACCTGCTAATTGAGTTGATTGGGCTCAAGAATAAGAATTAAAAAATCTTGAGGGATCTGTACAGTTAATTAAGGAGAGGGAACCAGGGTTATTAGCACCATTTCTGACTAATTTATTGACTATAATATAAAATTATATTGTAACCGAGTGTTAATGGTGCATACCACGTGAGATATTCTGCACATTTAAAGTAATAAAATTGGAGTGATGCTATACGTACATAATACAGTGTTCACAACGGTGTTCACCACTTCACATGGAGGGGGATCCACTTTGAATAAAAAAAATATATATCTGAAGTGGGTCCCCCTCTATGTGAGGAGATGGACACTGTTATAGATACCGCAATATGTACAAGTAGCATATTGTTTGGTGATGACTTGGCCAATGGGTAACAATCTAAATAGAATACAATTTATTTACATTATGAATATCATCTTACAACTTTAAGAAACCTTATAATAGATAACCCTTAGGATAATGGCACATATCAAGCATCAAGAGGATCCTCTTCTACCTCTAATCATGTGTAAAACATGTTTGTATGCTTTTAATTGAATTCTAAATTGTAAAACTTACTTGAAAATCTCAAAACGAGGTTGAATCACTTGCATTTTAATTGCTTGCTTTCCACACCGTCTTCTACTTACTCCTTGGTCAAAAACTTGATCACAAAGGAAGGAATTTGATAGCCACAATTCAAGAACCCAATTTGAGATGTTATATTTACATAGGTCAAGCATTCATTCTCATCTACTTTTTACCCTTTGAAGGAACCCGAATTTTTGCACGTATATATTTTGTTTATTGTATAATGGTGGAAGTTATGGGTGATGGGAGGTTAAACTTTAAACTCAAAATTTAACTCCTCCCTCAAAAATCACCCAATACAAATCGGGTCAAGTCAATCCATGTGGGCGGGCCCGTTTTCTTCCAACAATATGAGTACTCAATCCCCTCTCATTCAAATGTCAAAACTTTTTTTTAACCCGACACTCGTATTTTCATTCACCGTGCCTCTCGCAAGTTCAATATTTTTCGTTAGGTGTCTAGAGCATCAGAATGTACGCAATTGTTGCACCTGGCCGAAGCTACAATATATGCATTCTGATGTGATTGTTCGATCTCAGCATCCATGGGTGTCCATTATCAACCAATTCAATTAAAGCACAATTTGTTTTCGTTGTAATTACTAACTGCACAAAATCTAATAAAAGCAAACCTAAAAGGAAAGAAGCCGGTGCAAATATAGGCAGTTGACAAATAATGTGCTATTTAAAAGATATAATAAATAAAGAAATTCAAGATCATGGAATATGTTTAACTTTTTTACAAAAAAATAAAATAAAATAAATTAAATTAAATAGAAATATACCTGCTTATTGAGTTGCATGGGCTCAAAAATAAGAAAAAACTCTTTTTAAGGGATCTGTACTGTTGATTAAGTGGAAGTATGGAAAATTATGGTCAACGAAGAAAATAGTGCGTTGAGAGGGAAGAAGGGTTATTAGCATGGTTTTTGACGGATTTATTGATTATAATACGGAATTATATGATTTTATATTGTAGCCGTGTGTTAATGGCGCATACCATCGACATGTGGTTAAGTCTTCGGTTTAGAAAAAAATAAAACTTTTAGTAGATTTCAATAAAATTTGATGAAATGTGAGACAAAAAAGTTGTGGATATTAAATGTGTGATTGAAAATGAACTTGTTGAAAAATGAGTTTTAGAAAATAAGGACAAGTGACTAAAATCGTTCTATCTTGACTCGACTAGTGAAAATGACATTCTAAATAGAATACAATTTACAATTTAAATATAATATGATAAATACAAGTCATATAGACATTTAACAGTAATGTTATTTGTACATCATTGTGTACAAATGAATGACGTGGAAGAGAGAGTGATTATAATAACTAAGTTTCTTTTCTTTTCGTCTCCTTTTTTTTCTTTCATGTCATTTATCTGTACAACATTTAAATACAATGAAATAGTTATTCATCATTATATATCATTTTACAACATTATCTCTACGTTTTCAATTCATTTCTTTTATAAGAAAATTTTAAAGTTGCTTTTTCTTTTGTATTCAAATCGAACTCAACCTCGTCCTTAATTTTGTGTAATATATATAAACATTTTGGCATATTTTATAGATTGTCCAAAATATAATTATTCCACATTCAATAATGTCTATTCTTCATCCCCTAATATTGTTTTTCATTAGGATAATTCAAGAAGTACTTGATATTCATCATATTTTTGTAAAGCGATGACTAGTCTCTCTAAAGTAATAATTTTTTTATATTATTTTATAGAAAGATTAAGTATACTGTAAAGTTACTTTTTTACTAATTAAAAGTTAATTGTAAATCTTGAACTTGAGTTCTATTTTAATAATCTGAACAAAGATATTGTAAATCTCATTTCAAATTTTCATTTATGCACACTAGCAAACAAACATTATGGCCATGTTCGATTGCCACATGATCCATGGAAAATGTCACATTCGAGGAAAACGAATTCTACTTTGACTGTTTGATTGCAACGTGGAAATGGAAATCGAATTCCAAGATACAATCACTTTAAGTTACATTTTCTTTGTTTTCATGGAAAACGAATTCCTCTAGTGAGTTTTTATTTTCCAACTAACATGAAATTTGAATTCATTTTCACATTTACCTATCAAACGAATCCTACATTCCAGAATATGGGAGACAAAGGGAAAACATTGAGACTATTTGTGAAGCAAGTTTTTTTTTCTTCTTTGGGAAAATAGTAATACCAGCCTGTACCAACATAGAAACTTGGCCATGGGAAGAAAAAAATTATGCTAAAGATATTTGACACAAAATAAAAGAATCACTTTTGGTCATTTTCTCTTGTTCATGAACATATTAAAAAAAAATAGCAAAAAAAATTGAGTCCATATATTGATTTTGCAAGAGTAGATATGTAAAAAAACAATGTTATGTAACACCAACGGTTCTAAATCATCAATTTATGTGGCATTATGTGACGGATTTAATTAAATGTAAAATTATGTGATTCATTTAATTGGACTGAATTCATGAAAGCTTAGTGCCATTTGAACCGGTGTTGTAACACTAGTGTGCTAAATAACATTACTCATATGTAAAACATAAAGCTAAGCACATAAATTTTGAACTGAAATCGGTGCATCAACTCAAGGTGAACTCGGACTAGCTACACCCTTCAAACCAAATAATTTGCTAAATGGCGGCACTGAAATGATAATCCCATTCTAATGATGGAACTGTTAATTTTTCTCAAATATAGAGAAGAATAGTAATTTTTAAGTGCTACAACTACTAATGAAATTAAGGCATATGTAATTATGTTCTACTGAAATTATATACACAGAAACTATCCAGCCCAGAAACAACATTCTGGTATACAAAATCCTGTAATCACTGCCTTGCTTATGTACAAAAATTTGCCTAATTTTGCAACATTAATCTAATTCAGATCCACGGCAAGAATCAAATCAGCCTTCCCAGCAATCGAATAGCAGTCATTTAGCCGAACTAAAATTGTAGTTAAAACACATCAAGAATCTATGTCCACTGGCTAACTTTTTACACAGCGAGAGTTCCTCCTCTCAGCATTCCGAGACCTATCCCACCTTCCATGTTCATACTTCCACAAAGCAGATGAGCCCATGCAGAAAACAGTGCCCAATTCCTTGTACAACTTTGATAAATCAACTTTTAAGCTGCAACCCACCTCGAAAAAGACGTCAAAGGATGATGGATTACATCAGAGTTGAGACCGTAATTTGTTAGAACTATGCAGTGTAACTGGTGAAGATCCTGGCAAAGTTGAGTCTAAATCTAGCACAGGCAGTATATAAGAAATTCTTACCTCCATATCCCGTAAGAGATGAAGGCTTCTGATATGGACAGGGCTCATCCAGAAAGTAGCACTTCCCAAGGCACACTTGAGAAAAGTTAGGTCTCAATCTTACCGCATTCGACACTTGATAAGCAAATTGGTTCCCACAGTCTCATGAATTCTTTTCCCAGTATGAGGAAGCCTTGTCCTCTTTGACATAAAAGGATCATGAGATCAGAATTGGGAGAGCAAGTACACACAATCCCACTGTAATGATCAAACGGCTCCCACAAAGCAGAAGGCATTTTGCAGACATCATAAATCAGCTGGTTACAAGTCTCGTTTTCCCAAGATACCGGCAGTGTTTGGCTTCTTTAAAATGCCATATTGCCAGGCATCTCGAGATCTATCACTAGATTGATCAAAGTCATCCAAACAATTCTCTGTTCCTGGCCTCAAGTGTCGATGACTACCGTTCCTAGAACTTGAAGATGTATTTGACTTCTCGTCGTCTTCTGACGGCGTGCCTGACCTGGATTCCATGTGGGAATCATATGATCTATATCTTGGTCCAGATCTGAAGCCCCTTGTATTAGATATCTTGGGAGGTAAGAGACCATGGGTAGAAGACTCTGGCACAAAGAAATCTTTAGGCAGAGAATCCATGTCCATGTAACACTTCCGTGCTTTGGCATCAGCAATTAATGCAGCCCAATCATCAGATTGTATCAGTGCATTGGCATTTCCCATGACCTGTCAGTCATCACAAGATGAAACAATGATTAGTCATTTCACTCATAATTGCACATGCTACTGACCACAAACATTCACATAAAATTACATCAGGAAATAAACACGGAGAAATATAGCATTACCCAAAGAGCTCTTCTTGCTCGAGTAAGAGCAACATTCATTCTCCGAATATCTGCGACAAATCCAACTCCATGACTAGATGCACGAACGCAAGACATAATAATCACATCACGTTCTTGGCCTTGGAAAGCATCCACAGTATTAATATAGATGTCTTTCCCTTCCTCCGAATTTAAAATATCCTTGAACTCCCGTTGAAGGCATTTTAGTTGCAGCTTGTATGGAGTGATTATACCCACAGATACTTTTCCGACTCCTGGCGATTTTATAGTTTTCTGAAGGTGCTCATATATACGAAGACAAAACTGTGCTTCTTGTGTATTCTGAAAAGAGACGGAGCCACCCCGATGAGATTCTCGACCGTGTGTGATATCATAAAAAATATAAGGCCTCAGTAAAGGATCTTTGTAATATATCTCTTCTGGAAGATTGACAACACTTTCACTATCTGTAAGGCGTCCTTGATAGAAGTAACTAGAAGGAAAATCCCTAATTTGTGGATGCATCCTATATTGAACAGATAACAACATTGTTGGACAGCCTGCTTGCTGGAACCTCTCGAAAAGGCTTCTACTGTAAAGCAAGGTTCCAGCTGCCTTACTGATGACAGTAGCGGGAAGCTGCTGAGGATCCCCCACAAGAACACAACGTGCTGCACCAAGGGAAAGAGGGGGCAGTACAGCAACTTCACTAGCTTGAGCTGCTTCATCGATCACAACCATGTCAAAACCATGAGTTAGGCGAGAGAACAACTTGCGCCCACTGCTTGAGACAGTAGTGAAAACAATCTCAGCTTCATTGGCAAAACTTGCCTCCAGACTTGCACGGGCTTCCTCTAAGTTGAAGTTGCTACCACCACGAAACCTGCTTTCCAGAATGAGCAGCCGGGACATTTCCACTAGTATTTTGTCTCTGTTCTCAACCACTGCAGCAAGGTTTTGAAGCAAAGCATCTCGATTTTGGTCCCTTGCAATTAGAACATCCGGATCAACACCAACTGATCCTTGTGAACGACCAGTGGCAGCAGCAACATTGAGTTCTCTTTGAAGGGAAGAAATTTGCTGAGACAACTGAGTTTCACGAACTCTCAAACTGTGCATCCATCCATAAACTTCATCACGACTCTTCATTAAAAGTTGTTCAGTTCTGCGTTCCACGGAAACTGCCTGGGCAGCACGTGTCTGTGAATCTACCCCAACTCGAGCCACATCAGGCCGGTAGACTTTCATCTCGCCATCAATAAAACCACGATCCAGAACACGTGAAAGCAGCTCATCAGTCGCAGCATTTGAGGGAGCACAGACAAGCATCCTAGGTTTTGGGCAAAGTTTCGGAAGAGTGCGAAAGAGATTCTGATCCATGCTTTGGAGAACTTCATCAATGGATCCAATGGCTACAGTATCAGAGTTGCTCTCATTCACCTGCTTATAGCTTTCAGGTGCTAGTTTCTTTAACAAAGCAGTATAGTAATGTTGATATTGTACAAGATGGATCACATTTAGCATTCCCCACACTGTATGCGTCTTACCAGTCCCGGGAGGCCCCTGAACTAAAGTAAAAGGCCATGGATCTTGCTTCTTTGTGATGCCATTAGATGTACCAGCTGCTGTATGCATTGCAGCCCACTGAATTGCTCCTAGCTGGGGTCCATTAAAGGTCCTGCGTAGGTGTTCAACAAAGTTTGGAGTAAAGCATTCTGGCATTGCAGGTGGCTGCTCTTCATATTTAGGGAATTGATCTGGACTAGGCTGAAGAATTGCATTTTGCATCTGCAAGAAAACAATAATTAAACTTTTAATAATAAAAATATTAGAACTGACTCATCATTTAGAACTAAAAATGAATTTCAAATAAAACCTGCAAACTAAGACGGCGAAATGCATGCAGAGCTACATATTCTCTTTGTGTGGTCGCAAGAGAACCGAGCACAGTCAGATACCAGATGCCCCCTGGTTGGAGTTTCTGCACAATATGATCGTCCTCGATTTTGCTGAAACAATTAGTGTTTAACAAAACCATCATCAATATTTAAGCCAGAAATTGCAGTCAAAAGATATAAATGTGATCTTTTTATTCCTAATATTTTTTAGTGTGGAGCAATTACAATTATGTTACTTCTTGTGTCAAGTAAGTGTACGTATATAAAAACAGATCATTTCCACATACTTATAATTATGTTTCATTTTCCAAGTTTCTGTCAAGCATGTTTCATTTTCCAAGTTCTGAACTCTTTAGACTAATGTTTTACCCTCCTAATATGTGTTCGTCAAAATAATAGTCCAATTGGTCTTTTCTCCCAACCAGGCCACTCTTGCATGGTTTAATCTTCATATAATACCACCCACACCCTAAATTGTCATTTAGTCTTCTTCATCCAAACGGAACTCTACTCACTTTCGCAATCTGACATTGACAAGGACCCACATCTGCTTTGCCCTAATTCAAATTATTTTTTCTTGCTTTTTGTCATTTTGATTTCAATCATTGGTAGTTGTTTTCTCCATTTCGATTTTAAAATGTATTCGCTGTGTGGAGGCATGTGGCTGACGTGTCCAGGACCAAAAAGAAAGAAAAGGACACACCAAGTTGTGAGTGTCTGAGACACTCCAGCTCAGGTGGTGTGAAGGAGCCTTTTAGAATGAAACCAATCCCAAGCGAGAAATGAATAACAAAAAAGGGGAAGGGGAACAGTCAAAGGACAAAAGGACTATATGTATGACTCACCTGTTGGAATCATATGAATCCCCAACATAAAAATGAAGGATTGCCCCAGGATGTTCGCGTGTATCAATAGGAATATGCCGCCTCACTGTGCCAGCAACACGACCATTAACTTCAGGACTATCTTCATCTTGAAGTGCTGACGAACTGTTCCTCTTAAAATTGACTGCATCACAATAATCAAGGCAAGATTTGGAACATAAGGTTTGCCAATTGATGAATCAGATACAGATATCAAAAAGGCAAATTATGCAACATTATATACAAACCTGATCCAGGCTTGGGCGATGAAAGGACAGCAACATCACCTTCCTTGAAAGTCCATTTGTATTCATGTGGTGGGAGAAGTATCACATCAAACCACCCTGAGAAAACCAAAGGCAGAAAAAGAAAATAAGATTAAAACAAAAATACCCTGTGGAGCCACAAGCTCAAGTATACTAGTATTAGATATTCCACCAGAATCATAAAATATACTAGTATCAGAAGACAACAAATTTATTTCTCTGGTGGCCAAGATAAAAGAAAGACACTGGAAAGAGAAAAGGAAAGAAAAATGTCATAGCCCCTCACACGATGATGCTCATTGTCACCATAAATGAGACTAAAATGGGGATTACACCATCTAAGAACCAAAGTTCCGACACCATTTGCATAAATTTGTATCACGTCCAATAATGTCAAAAGAGCCAATAAGATGTTGCACAGTAACAAACTCATTGACAACCAAATAATATAATTACGTAACCCAATATCATCATTTCAGGACGCCTAAAGAGTAGATTTGTAATTAGCTTAGTCAAAATGCCAGCTAAGGATAGACTGCAGTCAAGTCAACTAGCAAATGCTTAGGTGTCGAGCCCATGATCCAGAGCAACTGGATTTTGGATCTTTCTTTTTTGTCCAAATACCGAAGTACCAAAATTCAGTGTACAGACATGGCGAGAGAGTGAAGTTAAGGCAAAAAGCACAATACCTCTTTCCCGTCTTTCAATAATTTTTATGCTGACCCTAACATGACCTGAAAATGTTTCAGCTGACTCCTCCCAAGTACTGAAAAGTTGTGCCCGGCATTCCTCAAAGAGCAAAGGTTCAAATACTCTGACATACTCTTCCACTGATTCAAAGCGACCAGGAACACGTTGAAGCTCCTCCTCCTCTGTTGAACATAAATATTCAAAAATAATAAAAGAATACAAAATAAATGCTAATTAATAGTTCTCGTTAATAATAAATAGATAAACCACTCAAGGCTAATGAATATACATAAAGACAACACCTGGACACACACAACAAGACCATAAGGTCAGAAAAATTCAGAAAACAAAGTTAATTCAGACTTTTGGAAAAGCTACAAAAAAAATAATAATAATAAAGAAAAGAAACTGCACAAATACAATGCTTAGATTTAGCCCCTGTTTGGCCCCCATTAAATTAAATTACATTACATTAAATTTTTTTCTCTCCTCATTACAACCACACATTCATCAAATAAAATAATATTACACACAAATCTAAAACTTTTCATTACTTTTCCACCACACATTCTCCCATCAATCACTATTCCAAAAATTTTCGACTATCAAAAATGCCAAATAATGGAGGCCAAACAAGGGCTTAAGTGATAATGAAAATCAAATATACTCAGATAAGTAGATTATATATAAATGAGTAGCTCATTAAGAAGATAGAAAGCCTTTCACTTCAAAAGCTTCTCAGACGATTGAACACCCACCCAATAGAGTTTTAGGATCCCCTCCATTATGTGTGGGCCTGAGTATCACAAAGATCACCACTCACTCAATAGAAGTATCGTCCAAAAAAGAAAAAGGAAAAAACCAATTCAGATCTCAATGCAATGGGATGGAGAACAAATTTTAGAAAACAACGCAGAGGATGGAAACCATTAAATAAAGCAGTCTGTGACATCATGACAACACTGAAGAAGAAAATCAGATAATGCAAGCAAAAGCTGGGCATAAGTCAAAACTAACTGGCGCAGATCCACACCCAAAAATGAAAAAAAGAAACCCACATGACACAATACCAGAGAAGTAATCAACATAATTCAAATAAATAGATAGATAAGAAAGGTTCTTAGTAACACCAATACTATAGGTGAAATGCAAATTCAAGGGATCGGTTTTCTACTTGATACAGACTAAGTAGTTCACTACGGTAAGTAACTTCAACTGCAGTATACATTTTGCTGTCACGATTCCAAACATACAGAAGTGATTTGACATTAGGATTCTGAAAAATATATTTGTATAGAAGTCGCATAACAGATATTTTAGGTGCACTGATGTCATAAAGAAAAGGTAATCTATGGCAATTTTGGCCAAACAGATTGTCATGTTGATAACCTCCCAGCTGGTTCCTAAATGGGGCTGCCATACACCCACAAATTAGAAGTTAATTGTTACAACATTGTAAAAGAAGCTTGATTTATCTTTTCGCCATCTCAGACACCACGAAAAACAAATTGAATTATCAAATTGAGCAAGCAGAAGAATGTATAGTTACAGCAAAGGGAAAACAAATGGCTAAAGAAAAGGATGAATACACAGGCCTCCTTCCAGGGGCCCGATATCACTCTAAAAGAGCTAGAATTCTAACATTGTGTCAAGACGGAAAGACCTACAGGCCAAGGGCGACATGTAAAAAATGGTTCAAAATAAGCAATTTTAGAACACGAGTACCTGGATGATGCCAAAACTTCTCATTTGTCACCTCACGTAAAAGGCGTTCCACTGATGTATCTTGATACTGAGAACTTACTGCAGATAGTTTCTTGGAAGGCAATTTCTTTGATGCCAATTTAGAATCAGTAGCACTCTGACCGCTTACAGCTAGCTTCCTACCAGGGACCTGAGAATTCTTAAGTTGCCTTGTATCAGTGGGAAGCTTCCATGAACTCTGTCTAGAAATGGGTGCTGTTTGCCCTTCTGCAACGGCATCTGTCAAATTATTCAACCTCCTCGAACGTCCTAGAGGTCCTAAAATATTATCACCGTTACTTTCAGATTTAGAATCATTAGCATCCAGAGAATTGTTCCCTTCGTTGTTTGATAAATCAGCCTGTTTCAAGTCTTTGGTTGTGGGCTGAAATTGTTTATCCCCGCGATCAGCAGATTGTGGGACATGTTGACCTTCTTTCACAGTCCGGGTTATGACAGGTGCTGGAATTTGCCTTCTAGGAGTTGATGCCTTCAACGTACCAGCTTGCTTAACATCTTCTAAATTGAGAAACATGGTCTGCCTACTGCGCTTCTTTCCTAGCATCGCTTCCTTCTGCTGATCAAACTTAGGACGCTTTCCAAGATTATTTGCACACTTCAATGCATGATTTGCTTCGACTCCTCTGATTTCTCTTTGTTTTGGCACCTGAGGAGTATCTTCCTTGCCATTCATAAATACATCAACTTTCCTACCATTTGTTTCTGGATCCAGTCCTGACGAAAGGCTAATACTTTCATTCTTAACATCACCAGAATTAAGTGAGGCATTCTCTGCATTGACAACCAGGTCATTATTTGCCACCGTCTCAACCAAAATTTTCTCCTGTAAATCTTTACTATTACCAGAAATTGATTCTTCATCCACAATACCACTCCTGTAAGCATCAGCAGAACCCTCTGCATCTGACCATTCCCCTTCCTCCTTCTCAACAGTTTGATTACCTGCAGAAGCTGACTCCAGCTTTGGAGAAGCCTTTATATCTTTGTCATGACTTGGTTCAGATGTTAAGGCAAGATACGGAGGCATGTCCCCAGCACTCTTTTTTTCAGTAGAAAGTTCAGATCCCTGAGCATTTTTAGGCCGAACAAAAGGCTGGAAACCCGACACAGAAGAAGCATGGGAGAACGCATGGTTATTCACTATCCCTTGAGGACCAGCTGATGCCACAAACAAGTCAGGTGTGGCAGTACTTGAAGAAGGAACAGCTCTCTGAGGCTGGAAGCAGAAGACATCATCATTGTCGTCTTCATCCTCAGTAGCGGGTTCATTAAGATCAAATAGCAGCCTTTTGGAGCCCATTTCGCATATGGTTGCATACAAACAGATAAAATATGCAAAAAAATGTCTACTGACTTCTATTCAGATATTTCCTAGCAGAAGATGCACCTTACATGCCAAGCACAAGGGCAAATGGCAAATATATCAGATATCAAGCTTGTCGAGATAAATGCTACAGAAAGACACATTCTGCATACAAATAAAGAAAAGCAGATAGGTAAGAACCAAATGCTTAGGGTCATACATAAAACAAATATGTATTGTCATCTCAAATATTTCAAACGTAAAACTAGGTTAGGTTATTCTGATACAAATCACCGTGGTTCGTGTGAATATATAAAGTGAACAATGCATAGTAATCAGTATATACAGTCAAAAACTTCACACGCTCTGTCCTTTTCTTCCACGGGCAGGGGCAGGTAGTATAAACCTGTAATTGACAGCATCCACATCCCATGAAGATATCAGTTTCCAAATATGCGACTCCTAAAATATAAATTCAAAAAAGATTATCAGATGGAAAACACATCATCACCTCAAAGCTTCATAACGGTACAATCATAAAATCTCTCGTAACAGAATATGAATCTAAAATCAACAGTTGCAATTATCACATGCAAAACTACGATATAGGAATCAAAGACTAGGCAATGGCAGACCAGCAATATTACAGTAGATGCATGGATAGGACTGTGTTAATACCCGTTCAAGAACAACAATCTAGGGATGCAAGAAATCCCAAATTGTTAACCAGATTTCACATCTTTGGTAGACCAAATATTTTTCTTTTGTATTTTCCTGAAACTTGCACTCAATAATTAGGAAGATAAGATAAGTAGATAGCTGAAAAATCCTAAATTGCATTAGGATTTACTAATCCAAATATCATTACCCCTCAACAACAAAAACAGTTGAAGAACAGTGGTGTTTGGTGGCTAAACCTAGACTCCCACTACTCTCAGATACCAAATCCTACAGACGAAAAGCCGACCTCATTAAAAATCAGAAAATAAGACACAAATATAAACTACAATTTAAAATAATAATAACAATCAACAAACGAATAAGTCTGCTCGAAATCCTTCAGTTTAATACCAAATTTATCACTCCTTATTAACAAATACCCAAATTACACAAGAAAATAGCAAACCATTCGATTAAAAATCAAGATTTCCAATACAAATTTAAAAAGAAAAAGAAAAATAGTAATTCAACTTGAATGGCGTTAAAACCAATTTAATATTATTAATTCACGAAATATCCACAAAATCTAATGTGTAATCAGGTTCAAATCGAAGTAGCTCTAGTACAAATTAATCAATCGCAAGTGAAACGCATTTTATTTCGATCTAATTTTCATAACCACAATTATCCAGTTATATTTTCATTCAAACTAAATGAATATTTTCAGCAAAAAAAATTAATAATAAAGAGCAAAAATAAAAGGGGGAAAAGGAAGTTACCTCGAAAGGACACCAATTCTAGAGAGAGAAATAATAATAATAAAAAATAAAAAAAACCTATTTGATGAATTAAATATTTTTTAATTACGTCAAATAGATATATATGTGAGTATTTTGTATCTATAGGCTGTGAGAAGAGAGAGACACCGTGTAGAGAGAGAGTGGTTGAGTATGAGAGAGAGAGAGTTGAATGCAAGTAAAAAGGGAAGGGATATGAAGGGTATTTATAGGGGAAAAAAAGAGGGCTAGTCGCTGGGTAAGGGAATGGCCGGTCACCGCTAATTTAAATACCGGTCCAGTATAAATCGGGGGGTTTTTTCAAGTAAATGACTATTTTTAATTATTTTTATAAAATACTAGTCACAATTAAAGTGCGTTGTACATTATTTTGAAATACTTTATAAACGCTGTAAAAATGATAGTTGAAAATTAGTGAATATAAAAAATAGTTAAAAAATTGTTTA